CTATAGTTAAATCACAATGTTGTACACTAACCTACATATCTCCTTGATCTTTAGTAAAAATAAAATAAAATTATAAATAAGTATGAGATGACATATTTTTCGAGTAATTATTTTTTATTGCATGAGCATTCTTGTTAATTAATATATTTACTTTTAATTTAGTATATTTTAAGAATTTTTTGGGGTAATTTACCGAAATCTCACTAGGGCAGCTTCGCCGGAAAATTACAGTATTTTTAAGTATTGACACATTTTAACAATAGTTGAAGGTTTAGTGTAATGGTAAAGAGGTTGGAAAATTTGTTTGAGGTTGTATGTTCAATTGATCTTCTTCTTTTTTCCACTCGGTGTCCGAAGTCCACATTGGAGCTCCGACTAAATTCGAATCGCGCGTTGCAGGGCCATTAAGGGGTGGCGCTCCCAACAAGATTTTCTCTATACCCAGGGCTCAAACCCGAAACCTATGGTTAAGGGTGAAACACTACAACCAGTGCACCACAACCCATGTTGCTTGTTCAATTGATCCTTGATAGCATCATTTACCTTTTTACTATATATTTTGACAAATACACAAACAAATCTCGCTCGCTTCCCTTTAACTTGAAATCTGATATGAAATTATTAATTAGTGATATAAAATATAATTATTTTAAACTATAAGAAAAATTAATAAATATGATAGGAATATTTGTGTAATTAGACTATTTCTCTTCTTCTTTTTTTATCATTAATAAATATGATAAGAATATTTATGTAATTAGATTATTTCCTTTTTTTTAATCCTTTAGCAAGAAGAATCAAAAGTCTTACGGTAGATCAAAATTATATGAGTTCCACTTGTGAGAAATTGCTTACATATATTAAGCAACAATAACATATTTAGTACAATTTCATGAGTTGGTTGCAAGAATAATAAAATATACACAAATTTGCTTCTACTTTTATGAGGTAGAAAGGTTATTTCAATAGATTTTGACTCAAAAGAAGTGTAACCAACGCAAAATTGTAAAAAATATAAAATAACAAAGTAACAAGATATAACAACGAATGATAATGCACACAAAAAAAATAAGAAACTACGCGATAGCATATTAACACATCTTATGTTAAAATATTTTGTTTTGTTTTTTATTTTATGTAAAATATTTCTAAAATTGATTTTATTTTATTTTGGTTTTAAATCAACATCATGACTTTTATCCCGTATTTTTTTAGTAGAAAATATGCTCTTTTAACAAGTCTAACACTGAGGTTCATTTCTTCTTGAGAATGTATATATTCAACGAATTAGTAATTATTTGTTTTTTTTTTCTATTTTTATTAGGAAAATTCCCCATTTAAACACAATATTCTTTAGAAAAAACATTTTTCAATTTTTTTAGTCAATCAAACATAAAAAAATTGTAAAAAATATTTTCCGTCTTACCAAACACAACCTTAGTTGTTTGATCTTCTATTTATTTTGCCCCTTTTATCAATTAAAAAAAGTGTTGTATTAATATATCCACACTTTATTACTTTTTGTAATGCATTAATTCGAAGTCCCACACTTTTTATTACTTTTAATAATGCATTATTTTTATATATTACTTTGTAAATTTGAAGTGCACTTTGGTGACTTCCTCCTAGGGCTATGATGTTGAACCCTAAAGTTCATCTAATTAAGCAACATTAAGATATATTTTCATATCTTAATATGTGATTAAATTATTAAATCAATATAAGGACCTCTCACCTTTAGACTATTATTTATTCTTTATTTTATACACCATAATGATAACCAAAAGGCTAACCAAAGAAAAATATAATAAGGAACTTCTTTTCCATTAGCTTTAAATAAAATTCCTCTTTTTAATGGTAAAAAGTTTATTTTCTTCTAATCTTATTGTAATTTAAGTGAATTTGTTTTAATCTACCAAGGCAATTCATTTTTTGTTTTATATTCTTGAGTTCAATACCTAATATCCAAACTTTCTAAACATTAAATGAAATTGGAAGTTAGTATGTTTCAAAATGTGAGAGACATTTTATTTAGCACCATTTGAGACGTAAACCTGGTGACATAATAGCTTGATATAAATGAATATGATTTGAAAAAATAAATCTAACATTAAAGAAAAATTATAAGAAGTTTCTTAAAGATTTTAACATAAATATCCAAACACACTAACATAAGTCTAAAGCTACAAAAATAAAAATATCTTACGAAAGTTGACAATAAATTTTCATCAATAAAGTCAATAATCAAAATAGACAAATATTGTAGCTTATTTTAAATATAACGAGTATTATAATTTCTATGAGTCCTCTGATTTTTCTTTTTGAAAAAAATTTCAAGGACTTTAGAATTTGATCTTGAATCTGATGTTTAGATCTTGAATTGTATTTGAATTTAAGGATTTAAAACTTGATTTTGAATTGGATTGTCTTGATTTGACTTGAGCTTGAATTTAAGGGCTCGAAACTTAATGTTGAATATTCATCTTAATTTCTAGAACTAATAAAGACATACTTCAGTGCTTGTAAAGAAACATGTGGCGCTTGATCCACAGTCTTGCTCCGGTTTCTTGTTAAAATTTTGATGTCTTTTGTAAATTATGAGGAATCGAAGATCCTTATTAATAGTTGAAACGATCTCTCGAATGCATAAATGGTTGTGAGTTCATGTTCTCATCATCTTTGGTAAAATCAAGTCCACCGTGAAGACATTCATAGACACCTCTACCATAGTCTTTTGCAAATAACCAATTTAGATTTAATAGTACATACATCCCAGCAGGGCACAACCATCTTGTTCAATTTATCTCTTTAAACTTGGATCCCATGAGGCGGACCTTGGAAAGTTTTAACATAAGCAGGAGGAATTCGCAGATCTTCCAGATATAGAGCGCGCAGGGCTTTGAACTCAAATATGTTACCTACAATGGAAGTAAACATATTGGTAACGGGATGAAAGTGTTGTAATTATAAAGACAAGCTCTTTTTTTTCTTCTGACAATGTAAAACTCGATATGTGATTGACTGAAACATGTTATTTGTACATACACATGACACATTTACATTGCCATTTTGTATGACTAGGTATGCTTTGATATGTGACATGTTCCCAGTGTATTCTCCGTTTGACTTGACATGCCACATCATTTGACACATGACATCAATTTAGACCGAAAAAAAAATAGAAAAAAAAAATGCAATCCTCGAATAGGTCGTTGTAGAGAAAGAATGGCCTGTTTGCCAACTTGCTCACAATTTCGTTAAGAACAAAGCTTTTCGGAGTTGTCAATGCAATTTCTTGTGATAATAAAGTGGTAAATCAATGGGGTATTTTGTAATTTTGGCAAGTTTAATTTGGAGCTGCTACAATGGCTATGTCTGTGAAGCATATGTACATTATTATAGTAACTCTTGGTGTTCTCTCATTTATATTTGGTGTTATTGCTGAAAATAAAAAGGTTTGTTAACTTCATCATGCTACTCGTTAATAATTTTGTCAATAGTTTATTATAGACCAAGATTTCAACAAATTGGAGTTTAACTTTTTGATCATCCCCTCATTTTCTCCCTTCAATTTATGTGAAAGTGAGGTTCCTTTTTTCTCTCTCGTTATTATTTGTAACATTGGTTTCCGGGCCAAATACGAATAACTCTGTATACCAAAGCTGGATGAATAAAAAGAAATCACCTCGTATTTTATTTTTTGGCCTCTGTTGGCAATTGAACTTGAGGTTCTCAATCCACTTTAGTGACCGCTGGTAATTCTAACGAGGATTTTTTTTGCATAGGGTGAAGATTGTAGTTGAGTGGGAGGTATTAATTGTATATGCTTGATGTTTTTCGATCTCATCAGTTGAGAGTAAGATTGCTATGTCCCCTAGAGATGCATCCAGAGCTACATAACATGTTCTTGAACTTAACCTGATAACCATAAGATAAACATGAACAAGTATAGTTTATGTTGCTCGGACTCCCCCAAAAATGCATTGTTTTGGGAGTTTCTGGCACGCAGTCAATGGGATTTTTGAAGAGTCCGAGCAACATAGTATGGAACTTTTTTTTCCCACTTTCCCTATTTGTGCTCTGTCTGATTGTTCTTTTGTTGCAGCCAGCAAATGGAACTGCAATACTAGGAAAAGGGGTTGTTATCTGTAAATATCGATCTGATCACACTGTTGCCCTGGGCTTATTGTCTGTTATCTTTCTTGCTGCATCTGCTGTGGCCGGCTTCTCGTCTTTGTTTTATCCATATAAGGGGAAGTCAATTCCTAAGGCTGTTCTGCTGAGAAGCACTAGTTTCGTTGTATTCCTCAATGTTGCTTTGTAAGTATATTTCTTAAATTCTGGCTCCGCCTCTCATTTTATGTTTTGTGTCTCAGTTGCCTCATATTAGCTCTTTAGTGATTTTGATGTCTACTAGTGAGCAGAAGAAGCAATTCTTGTCATTTTGGTTTACGTTATTTCAATTTTGTTTAACTTTGACTCATTTAGCTTTGATCTTCTGCTGGTAAAATAAAGGGGTACAACTGGTTTAGCAGCAGTGCTGTTGTTGTGGCCTATCATCAGTGAGCAACTTCATAGCATGCGGAACATACACCACCACAACTTGCAAACGGGGTGTCCAACTGCCAAGACTGGTCTTCTTGGTGGCGGTGCCTTCTTGTCTCTTGATTCTGCGCTTTTCTGGTTGGTTTGCTTGATGATATCTAATAATGCTCGGGACGATTACTTTGAAGAAACAGCAGCAGATCTTAGAGGCGGGGATGCAGTAAACTATGAAGAAGATGTAGTTATCAAGAGTGCCTAAGATGTAGTTTTGTCTTTCACTTGCTTGCTTCATTTCTGATGTTGCCACAATCAGGTGGTAAACTTGCCATGTACTTCAGGATTCAGAGGGCAACTTTTCAATTGATCTGTTTGAGCTGATGTTGTGTCTATTAACCAGCTAGGAAGTCAAAAGTGAATGCATAAGGTGGAAACACACAACTTTTATGACATAGTAACATAACAAATACTTACTTCTATTAAGAACGACAAATATTTTGAGGCGGATGGAGTATATATATTAATACTAATAGCTCACTATAATATAAATGTTATCTACACTACTGAGTACTGATGTAGTATACAACTTGAATCCAAAGTTGAGGTTCAACTTCCGCCACTCGCCCTAGAACCTGCTCCTCATCTGGTCCTCAGATGTACCACCCGAGCCCCAATCCAAACCACATTCAAGGTGTGGTGATGCTCAACTCATAGTAAAGCATCTTCTACCACAATTTCATCAACTATGAATTTAACATTGGGTGATGCTCGTTGGTATTGTTTCATATTATCCATAATTTCTCTACCCGACAGACAAAGGAGATGTTCATAATTCCAAGCGGAAATTTCCTCAAGTACAGGAGCAGACACTAATATAAGCCTCAGAAATTCCATTTCCACCTCACGACCACTAAACATACTCATATGTACTTTTTGAAGCAGCTTCACAGCACCACACAAGCTTGATTGGTTTTGTAAGTATTGTACAACAGGTTCCACAGCTTCACTTTTCATTCCCTAAAAGATTATCAGAAAGTGGTCAGATGACGAAACACTGTATAAAATGACCTTAATCAGAAATAGGAAAGAGTGATTACACATTCAATAGTCAAATTTTGTAATTTGGGGAAGCTTGTAATCAAGTAAATAACACCCGAAACATGTTTAATGCTTCTGAAGAACATTGCCCGAACACTGAAAGATTTGACATTGTTCAGAGCAGTCAGATGATTCTCCGGCAGACCTCCCATTGTTAAGTACTAGGAAAATATCAAAAATTAGTTAAAGATATAACGCAGATGCATCATTTAGTTATGTAGATAAGCATCAAACTTCACTAGACTATAACTAATTATATCACAAATGTCCTTTACCTCCAATAAATGACCACTTATATCCAGTTGCATTAGGCATGGCATGTGACAGAAGAACTTTGTAATATTGGAACAAACAGGAGATGCAACCATCGAAACTCGTGAATTGAGATGCACAATAAGTTTCTCGAGCATAGGGGCGTTCTTGAAGCAAATGGACTTTGAATTTCCTCTAAAGTCAAAGCATTTGAGATTAGGTGCATCAATTTCAAGGGTGTCAAAATTTGTGCACCATCTCAACGTCAATCTTTCAAGCAATGGGCATCTGAAAATAAGATTCCCAAGTATTGCTGGATCAAAAGTGGCAAAATGAAGGTCAAGATTAATAAGCTTCTCAAACCCTTTGAAACCGGGTGGAGGATGGAACGAGCATCGATCAACTTTCAGATGCCTTAGGTGATGGAACGTGAAAAAGTGAGAAGGTAAATGATATCTGTTGTTTAAGCTGTTTCCGCAAAGGGTGAATTCTTGAACATTTTTCTTTGACAAGAAAAGTATCCAGTGATCAATATCAGGATATATTGTCAAGTTAGAGCCCCCAAGACTAAACTTAAGTATTGGTCCTTTATGGAGTAATAGGACTTGGTAAATGATTGCCGTAGCTTGATTACATGCATACGTCACAAAAAATTGATAATCAAACTCAAGCTCTTGACGTGTAACCCATTTATACCTCCAGTCTCTTGACAAGATACTAGTCTTCACTGCATCTTTCAGAGGCAAGCACCCTAATATTCCATCCAGAACGTTACAAGGCAAATCACTAATTGTATCTACACTAGATCTCGTAGCAGTCCTCATGATCGAATACTTACAAGTTGCATACACTTCTGAAAGTTAAGATCAGGGAAGTTAAACCAATAGTATCAAGCAAATGCACTTTTCGACTTTCAAAGTAATCAATATTCTCAACAGAATTTCAACATCAAGATAACACATGCAAATATACAAAAATACATATTTCAACAACGTATGCATAGCCTTTGCATATGACTAATAATTCAATGTTTTTCATCTACATACAATTTTTCAACAATTTTCGTAATGGTATAAGAAATTGGAAGATTGTTGGAGGACCACAAACTTCAAGTTGAGAGAACATTGTTAGTGTCTACAAAAAAAAAAGAAGCCCAACAGTCACCCAAAAATTAAGTCCATCTAACCAACATGGGTTATGGTGCAGTGTAGGACTGCTTCACCGTTAACCAGACGATGAAAATCCTGTTGAGACCGTCACCCCTAAATGGGTCCTGCAGTGCACGATCCAGATTTAGTCGAGCTCCAGACACGGGTGGGAAACCAAAAAAAAAAAAAAGTCCATCTAACTAACTGAAATTTTATATAAGGACTTTCTTCCTCTCATTAGCCAGTGTTCCTCCGTTTAAATTTCTCAAAATAGTGATGAGAAGTTTATGAATCAAGTAAGTAAAGTGATAGTTTTCTAAATAGGGCAAATTAGAGAAGAATGACAACAAATATGACCAATTTCAATATGAATTAATCACAAATCCATTGTAAGCAGAAACAGGAGAGTTCCTATTGCTACACAAATTCCCCCAAAAGTAGAAGGGTTTAAAGGGTTTGTAATTGAAGTAGAAACTGCAAAGAGATGTAACATAAAACGAGAAGTTGATTGAAACTATAGAGTTACCTTTAGATGAAGAGTCCACCGGAGAGAGATCAAAACTGCCGGTTTTAATGGAAGTTGGCGACGTTTCACGTTTGGTGTTTATCTCCTCCCTTAATGCACGAAAAACGTTCAATACAAGGGCACGAAATCTGCTAGATGATAAATAGAAGTATTGTAGGATAATTATTTTTAGTGATCTAAAATAAAATATTTGTGTGGTTGTAAAAGGAGAATTTTAAAACTAAATTATTTCTAATTTCTAATTATATTAAAGTAACTTTTTTTTTAAACGGGCTAAAAAGAAAAGGGTATCAAAAAAATAGAGAAGTCACTTACCTTATTCGTGATATGTGGAAGTATCGACCTAATTTTATAGAGTCATTCGGTCAACAAACTAATAAAAGGAAAGTCTATCTTATTCTTCTCCCGTTCGGAACCCCTATTTTCTTGAAAATAACTTGTTCTGAAGGAGCATAATGAGACATTGTATTCGGGGATTTCAATTTGGATTAAATTATTTTATTTATGTATGTAGATACAATGTATTTTGCTACGTTTCGAAAAACAACACTATATTTTGCAAATAAGATATTTGTGTTTTGAAATTTGTGATCTAAAAAAATTTCGAGATATTTGTGTGGTTGTAAATCATTTCACTAAAAGTAAAAAGAGAATTTTAAAAAGTTAAATTATTTATAGTTATCACGAAGTAACATTATTCTCGGAGACAAATTAAAAAAAAGTGTGACATAAAATAAAATAGAGGAAGCACAATGAGACATTGTATTCGTGGATTTCAATTAGGATTAGATTTTTTTTAGATATATGTAAATAGAATGTATTTTGCTTAGTTTCAAAAAAAGTAAATTTTGGGTTTAGCAAATATAAAAATCATATTAGTATGTTATAACTATAGTTTGTATAATTACGCTTCATATCAAACTTTATGTTTGATATGACTATTAATATGTATATTTCGGTATACATATACGAATCAATTGTATAATATGTGTTTGTATAAAGCGAGAAAGAGAGAAAGACAAAAGAAAACTGGACAGGGGAAGATCTGCATTTGTATAATTATAAGTGTATAGGACGAAAATATATGTATTTGTATATACAATTTTCTCTCGCTTTATACAAACACAAACGCAATTTATACATTTGTGTTTGTATAAAAAGTGAGAGAGGCGAGTGAGAGTGGCGAGCGAGATTCTCTAGGAGAGAGGTGAACGAAAATATATGTATATATATAGTTTTCTCTCGCTTTATACAAGCACAAACACATTGTATACATTTGTGTTTGTATAAAGTGAGAGAGGCGAGGGAGAGACTGCCGAGTGAGATCAGGAGAGTGGTGAGCGAGAAATTCAGGGAGAGAGGCGAATGACAATTGTTTGCTACGGGTTACAATTAAATCAAACTGTGATTATACCATTTAATTTGAATTAGTAATTTGCTATTTTATACAATTTTCCCTTAAAAAAACCATCACATTTTACAAAAACGAACGCTAATAACACTATTTATGAAAATTTCTCTATAAAGAAGAGGAACAAAAAAGGCCGGCCCATTACAGTTAATCCAGGCACAAAAATGGGCTTTGTTCAGATCCAACTAAAACAACAAAAAAAGAAGCCCAGGCCCGTGCCAGGGAAAACACAAAAACTAGCAAGCTAATTCTCCCTCATCGTCTGCAGAAAATTTGTTTGGGGGATTTATATTGCGAAACATTAAGATATATATTTGTCCCTTCGGGGACATCCGATAAAATTGGAACGATACAGAGAAGATTAGCATGGCCCCTGCGCAAGGATGACACGCACAAATTGAGAAATGGTCCAAATTTTTTTCTCAAACCAAATCTGCAATTTCATAAGTGTAAAGCTGTTCTTGCATTTTTTTGCTTAGTTTTTTTTCCCTCAGTTTTAGTTGCATGATAATAATTAATAAAAAATAAATTATTTTGCCTAATATGTTATTGCTATAAGTTTTTGGTTATTCATAATTCATGTATATACAAATTTAATATTTTATATTAATTGATGTTTCACTTCAAAAAGGGAGTGGACCTGTTGTTTTTTTATCATCCCACGCCTTCCAAAACACTGGTTATGTAAATCACATTCGTAAATGTAGTGAAATAATATTACCCAAAACTTAATATAATGATATATACGGTTACATATCCACGAACAAAAGTACAATTTTTTTTCTTTAATCAAGGGTTCATTAATTGTGCAGGACGACAACCTTTCTACTATTAACTTTCAATAATATCGCTTGGCGCCGAAGATGAACTGTACATCAACATTAGCAAACTTTGAAACTGTGTAACGCTTTCAAGTATGGGGATATTGATGTTTAGTCCATCTTCGAAGCCGAGCAATATTCAAAGTTAATACTAGAAAGGTTGCCATCTTGCACAAGCTACACCCCATATTGGTATCAAAAGAATTCCTCAAACGTTATTTTTTTCCAAAGAGTTTTGATTTACTTGTAGAAGTAGATGTGAATCAAATGGCTTGATTTCAGCTCTATTTATAGTGCTAACACCACAAGTTCTCTGTATATCATATTAAATGGCACATGTAATGTTGCAATAAATTTTTTAATACCTAATAAATGATTCTACAGATAATATTTGAAATCTACATTTCCAAAAGAGTAGTAGTGCACATGTCATATGACAGTAATTCATGTGGTATTTTATTTTTCATTTTAGTTGTCAGTACTCATCTGTTCCATTTTATGTGAGGTAATTTGACTTGACACAGAATTTAAGAAAGAAAGGAAGATTTTTAAAACTTGTGATCCAAAATGAAGGTTAGAAATTTGTGTGGCGGTAAATCATTTCATTAAGGGTAAAATAAATATTTTATAGTTAAATTATTACTTAATATAGAAATGTGTCTTTTTTTTTTGGACTGACAAAAAAGGAAAGTAAGTCACATAAATTTGGACGGAGGGAGTAATAATTATTATATAAATTTATATTTCTAAAAAAAATCAAGATTAAATTACTTCTGGTTTCTATTATTTAATTATTTAAATCATAATTATGTGACAATACAATATGTTAAATGGATCTGACAACACTATATGGGGCTTGTACTTCTTTGTAAATCCATGTGATAAAATCAACCACTATTGCAGTCAATGAATGAGCTTAGCTTCATGACTAAACATCACCATCCAGAGACGGATTTAGAGAGTAGCGAGGGTTAATTTGAAATCTCTTGACGAAAAGTTATATTATATATAATATTATTTTTTTTAAATTCATATACGTATAGATTTTATAAATTTTGAACATAATCTAAAAATGGCTCCTTTACTAATTAAAGCAATGATACATCATCATATCCACCAAACAAGATCAAGATCAACAAAACTAATAAATTTGAGACAGTTGTTTAAGAATGTGAAGCCAACAAGCTTGCCTTCTCGTTTCGATACTAAAAATCTTAAAAGATTGAACCCCATAGGCCATATAACTTAGGTAGATCAAGGCAAAATGATGTTGTATTGTATAATCACTTTATGTTGTGAATTTCTAGCTGATCAAGCAAATTTAGGTTTTACTTATCAAATATTGCTTTTACTTACTCTAATTTCTAGTAACAATAACCTTTTATAAGAATAGCAAAAATGTAACTAAAAAAATGTAGCTCTGAAAAGGAGGAAAAAACTAGTAAAATGACGGGGGTTTGTTTAAGAAAAAAATTTGGACCATTTCTCGATTTGTGCGTGTCATCCTTGCGCAGGGGCCATGCTAATCTTCTCTGTATCGTTCCAATTTTATCGGATGTCCCCGAAGGGACAGACATATAGGTTAATGTTTTGCTTTATAAACACAACAAAGAAGCTTTCTGCAGACGATGAGGGAGAACTAGCTTGGGTGTTTTCGCTGGTATGGGCCTGAGCAAAGCCCATTAACTGTAATGGGCTGGTATTTATATTTTGAAAAAATGGCACAGCATGACATCTCATTTTACTAATTGGCAACAAATAGCCATCTTTTATTTTCTTGACAAAAAAAGGTTTTTAAAAATTAAATTTTGCAAATAGTAGCCCACGTATTGGGAAGTTTTTTTAAAAATTAAATTACATAATTTTAGGAGGTGGCAGCATGATGTCCTTTTTTATTGGGAAGTAGTTTTTTTCTCTTCTTTCTCATACACACGATTCTTTTGAATGATTTTTTTTTATTGATTATGTAAATATTTCTTCAATTCTTCTTCTTCATTACTTTGAATAAAAGTTCTTGTTTATTAGTTTTACATATTGAATTCTATAAAAATATTCGTCCATAGTGTATTTTTTCTCTTTCGCTTTTAAATTCTTGATGGTTTGTTGATGTCTACCCGTCAATTTCTCTAATTCTTAGCCTATGTTTGATCCCCTCTTGTATTGTCGTTCATTTTTTTTGGGGAATTTAATTTTTTAAATTGAAGGTTATATCTAATTTAGGCAAAAATTTACTTAATAGTAATTAATTGTGGGTATCAATTGTTATGTTTAAGAAAGTTATCCTAGGATTATTCATAAAAATGGGGATTCTGATTCTAATTTTGTGGATTCTCCATCCATAACTCTAAATTTTATAGCCATGTAAGTCTTCTCATTATCCGATTCGACTTGTGTGTTTGCTATTGCGCAATTTATATTTCATGTGCAATCCTCATTTACTGAAGAAAGAAACTAGAATGTATACAAATTTTGAGAGAATGAATATACAGATATGTATACATGATTGCAATGCATACATGATGTTCATGATTTTAAAAAAATCTTCAATGCAGTGTATACATATTATAAGTGAATGAATACATAAAAGTGTTTGACTTTTTAATATGTATACACTGAGGGGATAACATAGCTATTAATGTATACTAATACTAAGTGAATGAATACACCATTCTTCTACCTATATACAATCATCAAGTATACAATTGGAATTTTTTTTTATCAAGTAACGAACAAAAAAATATATGAAAATACATAATTTATGTTTTTGGGCGGTTACGTATTGTATATACAACTTTTTATGTTTCCGTTATTTTTGTTGTTTAGTGATATTGGTTATACGAGGAAAACAAAAAAAAAACTATTAAAATGTCATTTATTAATTTGGGCCATTTTGTGCTTATT